ACACCTGTAACCCTTTTTGCTTTAGTTATTTTCCAGGTAGGATCTCACGCTTTTTTTGCCCAGGGACTGGCCTCTGACTTTGATCTTCCTATCACCACCTCCCAAGTAGCTGGCATTACAGATGTGAGCTACTACACCTGGCAGCATTCATTTCTTCTGAGCTGTAAACACCTGCATGAGGAAGAGGTACTTGTGTTGAGAGGGCTGGCTCCCCCAGGCTTCCCAGGGTGACACTGGTCCTCAATAGTTTCACTTCCTCTAAAGATTTCCACTCACTATGAGTGAGGTTGTGGGTGGGGAATTCCAAGGGAATGGAAATGAGTTGAACGGTTGTTAGAGGTTCACTGACACTCCAGTTAGATGACGGGAAGCTACTCAGATTTGGGCTGTAAGAAAAGACATCAATGGGAAGCTTATAGGTGAACACTAGAGGATGTCTGGTTCTTCTTAGGATGGAACATTGGGAGTCATACTGGTGGAGACCCATGTGCTGGTCTGGAGGCTGACCATTCTCCAAATGAAGTATTCACATAGATTCCTTCACCAAGGGCTTATGCACTAGAGAAAGTGCTTAAGATAAAAGCCTTAATTCCTTCAGACAGCATGAGCTGGCCAGGCCTAATTTTTACCTCTTTAGGCTGATATCAGAGGGGAGGAGTAGACCCTCCCTGACCTCAGCCATTGAAGAAAGAGCAGGGATATCAAAATATAGATTCTAAAGGCCATTAATGCTGGAGAAGCAGGGAAGTCGCACGTGCTATAATGTTTCAGCAGCAGGTCACGTATACAATGGTGGTTCTCTAAGATGAAAATGGAACTGACATTTCCTATTCCTAGTGACATCATAGCTGTCATGACATCATACATTATAGCACAACAGCCTACCATGGTGCCAGTCAGACCAAAACATAGAAAACCCAGTAATAAAGGACAGCATGGCCGCTCTATGTGTTTAATGTGCTTCTTATTGTTATTCAAAAGGGTGCTCCTTCTCTACAGTGAAACCGTGTGCTGGGTGTGTGTGACACAAGCAAGCTCCCTTTTCCCTGTTTTCACTGCATCTCCAGATTAGATCAAGAGATATGACAAGATTTACTTGATGGCACTTGGTTTAATTTGCCTTGCTCACCATGGCCCTAGGAGTAATGAGCTTTAACAAGTGTGTTCATGCACACACACACACACACACACACACACAGAGTCTAGGGTTTGTTTAAATGTACTTCAAGGTCATTCATCTCAGCTTGGCTCCCCCCCCGCCCCCCCCCCCGCCACAAAGACTCTGACACAGGATTTGAGGGCATGTAGCTTAAGAAATGGTTTCAAGAAACATTGTTGGAGATGGGGGTTCAGAAGTAAAGGAAGCTATAGAAAATCACCATGGAGATTGCTCCCATGTGGACGCTTTGGACAAGGTGATGCATAGACCTCACAGCTACTCCCCTCATGACTAAGGGCACTAGGGGTTCATCCGGAGCATCTTTAATTGCCTCTTCACTAACCACACTTGGCCCTGCCCAGCCTGAAGAAGACCTGGAGGGAAGAAGACGTAGGCAGGGCAGAACTGCTTCCACAGGCCCCTTCTCTGCAAGATGCTGACAACACAGATGATCAAATCTCATAACTTTACCATCATCTGTCAGTGGGGGTGGTTTCCCTTATTTACATAAACAAGACAAGGAGCAATGAGGGTCATTATTTGACTAAAGTCACATCTCCTGGTTACTCTTTCCTAATCTTTTACTTCTTCCTCCTTCCCTCCCTCCCTCCCTCCCTCCTTCCTTCCTTCCTTCTTTCCTTCCTTCCTCTCTCTTTCTCTTTCTCTCTTTTTTTGTTTTGTTTCTATGATTTGAACTCAGTGCCTTGCACTTACTAGGCAAGTACTGGAGCACTTGAGCCACACCCCAAGTCTTTTTTTTTTTTTTTTTTGCTTTAGTTTATTTTCCAGGTAGGCTTTTGTGGTTTGTTTTGCCAGAGTTGGCTGCAAACTGCCATCCTTTCCTGTTCCCCTCCCACATAGCTGGGACTACACCTACCTCCAGCATGCTCATTTAAAAAAAATACTGAGATGCAATTCATTTAATATAAAAGTAGCCATTTAAAAAAGAGCAATTCAGTGACAGGCAGTATGTTTACAGTGCTGTACAACCATCACCTCTATCTTCTTCAGAAGCATTTTTTGTGGCTATCTGCTTTCATTTATTTATTTTTTGTAAAGATACTGTACAGAGGGGTTACAGTGACATGAGTAAGGCAATGAGTACATTTCCTATTGAGCATTGTTACCTCCCTCAAAAAAGGAAAATTCTTACTAGTTGCTCCCCATTGTGCCCTGTTCCCAGCCCCTGGTAGCTACCAATCTGCTTTCTGTTTTAGAGATTTCATATCAATGGGATCATATGACCTTCTGGGACAGGATCCTTTTGCTTACTGTACTTGCTTTCTAGGTTTATGCATGTAATAATGTGCATCATCCCTTCACTCCTTTTGATGGCTGAAGGCTGCTTCATTATATGGATATTCCATCATTTGTTGATCCATTCCTCTGTTCCTAGCATTTAAGCTGTTTGTACTCTTTGGCTATTGTGAGCAATGTTGCTATGAAGGTAAGTGTGCATGTACTTGAATCTCTGTTTTTAATTCTTTTGCATATACAGGTGTCCCTTGGTATGCATGGGAGATTTGTGCCATAACCCAAGTCTGAAAGTACTCAAGTCCCTTATATAGAGTGGTATACATTTTCATAAAGCCTTTGAACATCCTCCTGTATACTTTAAATCATCACCAGATGACTTTAACAGTAAATTCAATGCAAATGCTCTGCGAGTTGTTATATACTGTGCTGTTTAGAAGACAAAGTCAAGAAAAAAAATGTATATATTCATCATGGAAACAATTTTCCCTGAAATATCTCTCTCCCTGCATTCCTTCCTCCCTCCCTCTATCCCTTTGTCTCTTCCTCCCCATCTCCCTCCTTCCCTCACTTTCCTCCTTCATTTCTTTCTTTCTCTCTCTCTCTCTTTTAAGGATAGTCTTGAATTCTTAGGCTCAAGCAATCCTCCTGTCTCAGCCTCCCAATAGCTGGACAGATAGGTGCATACCATTGCATCTAGAGTTTCCACTAATATTTTTGATCCAAGGTGGGTGAATCTGCAGGTGTGAAGCCCAGATATAAATACATACCTACAAAGAATAAGACTGAAATGTGTGGGGCATATGTTAGTGCAGTGTTTAACTTTTAAAGAAATTACCTAGATTTATGGGGGAGTTCATTCTCCTCTCCCTCTAAATATTAACATGACTTGAAATTCTGTTATTCTAAACTGCCTCCTCCTTCCTCATTTATATTCTACCTCCATTTGTAAGGGTGTCTCCCTCTCCCCATGAAGAGGAGGAAGGCTGAAGCAATAGTAACTTTAATCCATGGAGAAGGCACCCTCCATGTAAATCTTTACTATAAAATCAAGTAAAAGGGAAGGCTCTTTCTGCAGTTCAGGCTGGTATATAAGTTTCAATCAGGCAGCCATGTCTTTGAGTCTCAGAATTTTATGTATCTATGTAATTAACTTTTCCTTGAGTAATCTTTCTCAAGTCTATTTAATTCATAGTCCAGTCAGGAATTTTCCTTCCCGGTATTAATTGATTGTCTGTCTCTATCTTGAACCAAGCGCAAGCAGGGAGGGGACAAGGCAATGGCTGGTTTTGTTCCCTTTTTGTAGTTTTTGACTTACAAAGTGACTGCTTCCAGATGCGTACTCCCTAGATAGCTGTTAAATAAATTAACTCATTAATGAGAAATGATAGGACTGGTTTAATATTCTTCCCTTCCCACAGATCACTTTTCACCTTCAGATGGTAGTGTTCTTGAAAATAACTAAGGAAATAGGAGCAAGGAGGAGCCCCATTTGGCTGGGTCCCAGAGTTCTGTCAAGGACAATTGGTCCTCATTCTCAGTTATGGATGGAAAATCCACTGCTGTGAGGGGTGGCGGGGGTGGAGGGATGATCGAAGAAGGAGTGAAAAAAGACTAGAGCACCTATTTTCATTGTCCCTGTAGCACAGGGACAGGTCTTGTCAGTCCCTCAAATTATGCACTCTCCGTTGGAAGTAATTTCATCAAGGAAAAGGATTTATGCCAAACTCATTGTGGAAAGAAGGTAATTAAATGAATCAATACATTAAATGAATAAATACACATTGAGAAAAGTCACGATGGAGCAGTTAGGATGCAGCCTGGCATGGTCAGGCAGAACAGTACAATTTGTCCCCAGTCCCTTAGAGGTGGTGCTAATGCTAGGTTCTTTTTCTTTTTTGTCAGTCCCAGGGCTTGAACTCTGTACCTGGGCTCTATCCCTGAGCTCCTTTGGCTCAAGACTAGCATTCACTACTGGAGCCGCAGAGCCATTGCTGGCGAGTCTCATAGACTTTCTTTCCTGGGGTGGCTTCAGACCGTGATCCTCAAATCTCAGCCTCCTGAGTAGCTATGGTGATCGGTGTGAGCCACCAGCATCAGGCAATACCAGATTCTCTGTAGAGCTGGGAACATGCACACAAAGTCACCAGTTTTGAGCTCCCCCCGGCTCCCACCAACAAGGAATCTGACCCAGAGAGATAGAAAACTACTTGGGTGTGAAAGACTGTAACCCACATCTTGAGGTATTGAAATAGTTTAAGTGAAGGCAAAGCTTAACTCCTACAGGCTGGGAGGGAAGCAGGAAGAGGGTGGAACATTTAATCCACGCCAGAAGCACCTACACCAGATGATTTAACAGTGGAAGTTATGGGGAGTTTTCAGTTACATTAAGTTCCATTTGAACCAGTTTCTCCAAAGGAGAGCTAGAGTTTCTCTATCCTACTTCAGCACATGTTGAACCCTGCTAGCCCCAGTTAAGAGGTAGTGTTAATGGTGGGGACATCTCTAGATGTCTGACCCAACTAGGAAGTAAGTCTGAGAGAGACTTTGCCCTCACCCCAGGCCACAACAAGCGGCTGCAACTCACCAAAAGGCAGAACCACAGTGGATGGACCATCTCGTGTTCCTGGTCTTTTGACTGTCTCTCTGGGCAGTGAGAATAGGAGGCGACAGCTAGTCTTACTGCATCATTATGTTTGTCTTTCTTTTCTGAAAGCAACTGCAAGTTCTTCTGAGCACAGAAACCGCACCCTTACTGTGTGAGTGGCTGTGGATGTGTGGGGTTTTCCTTCCTGTTTCTGAGGTGATGTTGTCTCACTTCATTTCCTCCCTGTGCTTCTTCTGTTGTTTGGGGTGTGTGTGTGTGTGTGTTTGTGTGTGTGTGTGTGTGTGTCTGTGTGTGTGTGTGTGTGTGTGTGTGTGTGTCTGTGTGTGTGTGTGTGTCTGTGTGTGTGTGTGTGTGTGTGTCTGTGTGTCTGTGTGTGTGTGTGTTTGTGTCTCTGTCAGACTTTCTGATAGGCTAAAGATGCTTTGCAGTTTATGAACAGTTAAGAAATTTAGTACCTATGGGTCCCATTTGCTACATTTATAAAGATGGTTGATCTTTAAAATAGTAAAGATGAAGTCTTGTTGACATGTCTTTTTTCCTCAGTAGTCTAAACTCCTTTCTGGGCTGCTTCAAGACAAAATATAGGGCATTTGAAAGCCAACTGAATTGGGATTTTTATTTTGTTGATGGACCCAATTTGTTGCAAAGGATTCTAATACAGATGGGCATGAAACATTCTTTTACATGACAAGTACTTACTGAGCTTGCTCACTGGAATAGGTACCATGGTAGGAACTGGAGAAGCTTAGATTTGTGTGCATAGAAGGGAATTTGAAAGCCACTTGGCCCCAAATCCTCTGGACAAGCCTTGAGAGGAACCATGTGGATTTGCACTTTCTGCCTTCCTCATTTTAGCTTCCTCCTCTGTACAATGGGGACAATCACAGGAGTGTTATGAAAAATAAATGAGTCCATGTCTAGAGCAAATAAAACAAGCACAATCACAAGGTTTTCAATTATTACCAGAGGCAAATCTGTATTATTATTGGCTGAGATCTTTGCTTCTTCCCTTGCTTCCCCTACTCCTAGCTGGGGCCTGGCAAATGACTTGGGGACATAGTGGTCTGAGAAGAGAGATGGTTAGAAAAGAGAAGGCTTCTGAACAGGCACACATGGTGCTTGAGAGTCCTACACAACTCCAGCTTGCTCCTTCAAGAGCATGCAGGACAAGGAGAGTATTTCTTTTTACTTTATCATAGTCATCCCTTGTATGCTGCTTTCTTGTGACATGTATTTATTTATTTGTTTATTGTAGTGCTAGGGATTGAATCCAGGGCCTTGAGCATGCAAGCATACATTTTACCACAAAGCTATACCCCAGCACTTAGTTTTGTATTGTTTTCATTTCTTATATGACTTCATTGAAATCTAGATCCATGTCTTTTATCTCCAAACACTTTGGGAAGGTATACTCTACCCCTCAAAAGATAGCACCCGAACAAACAAAGAAATAAATGATGGCTGGACACCGGTGTCTCATACCTGTAATTCTATTTACTCAGGAGGCTGAGATCTGAGGATCCCAGTTGGAAGCCAGTCTAGGCAGAAAAGTCCTAGAGACTCAATCTCCAAATAACCAGTACTATAGCTGGGCTGGAGGCCTGGCTCAAATGACAGAGTGCCAGCTGTGAGTGAAAAAGCCAAGAGGGAGTGGGAGGCCTAAGGTCTGAGTTCAAGCTCCAGAACGCATGCGCGCGCGCACACACACACACGCACACACATGCGCATGCACACACACACGCGCACACACATATGCACACACACGCACACACACGCACACACATATGCACACACACGCACACACACACACACCACTGAACTCAAAACTTGATCAATTAAGACTTATAAATACATCAGAAATAAACATATCTACATGAATCACCAGGCATGTATTTTATCCATAAATAAAATGAGCTACATCCATCAAAGTATTCTTTTATTCCTTTCTCTCCTTCTTAAAACCATTCTTATATGCATGCTTTGTATCAGGATATCTTCCAGGTTTTATGTAGAATTATTCTATTCCTGAGTTTTTATTTTATAGTTCAGTCTTCACAGTAAATGGATGAAGGCAGATGAAAAGTCCATATAGTATACATTTCATCTAAGTCTCCCTCTGGGTATTTTCCCTTATACCTTATCAGGTGAGGGTTTGTTTTCTTCATCCAGCATTGAAGCTTGAGATATAATTTAAATATGTACATTTTTAGAAACGTATAATTTACAATTTTATAGTGTAACTCAAAACCATGAGTATCATCTCATTACCTCGGTAAGTTAAAGACGTTCTATACAGACTAAATGGGCTCAGCTTGGGTTCCTTTTATGGAAAGCACTAGCATTTACGACATGATTGTACTCAACTCTGTTTTTTTCTCTAGATGGCCTCTTTGAGCACTTCAAGTTGCCTAACTGTCTTACTGCTAATTTTTTTGCACTGAAGTCAGCATGCCGTTTAAGACAATGAGAAGCTGAGACCTCCTCCAAGACTAAATCAGAATTGTTTAACAAACATAAGTTAAATCCTTTCACAGTTGGAAAATGGGGAAAATGTCTGTTGGCTTGCTTACGATCTTGGAATTGTTTTTCTTCTTTTTTGAGTTTGTTTTCTTTCTTGCTTTTTTATTTGATTAGCAGCAGGTTATACTACTTGTTAAGATTTTTTTGATGAATCACAGATAGTTCTGAGCAATAAACAACCGTAACTTTCAATCACTCTGTCCAAGGAAAGCAATGTTTACATTTTTACTTCATTTAAACATTCATTTCAACTGTTTTAATTAGCTTATTTATGCCATCTCAGTTCTCTGGAATCTTGGTTAGCACCACAAAATGGTTTATAACTACCTGTTAAACAGTGGCCAAACCCCAGCAACTGCTTCTGATTTGTCATGGATGTCTGGCCTAAGGAGCAATTATTGCATAGATTTGGGTAGCGGGGAAGAGAGACAGACGCAAGAACTATTTAAGATAAAATAATTAGAAAACCATCTATGACCCAGCATATGGGTATGTTTATGATTCCATGTATTTGTCTCATTTTCTTCTATGCCTGAATAGTATTCAGCATGGAAAGCAGCAGCTCAATAATGCTGCTCAGGAGTTGGTCTGGCATACTTTAAGAGACACATTCTCTAGTATTTTGAATGATACCTCATCCCTGCTTAGGAATGTGATTTTCATTTTTAGATGAGTTAGTCAGAACTCAAGAAGGTATAGTTCATTCACTAATTCAACGATTATGTCTCTATCCAGATGTCCTGGAGCTTCCCTGAGCATTCTTGATGCATCAGTCCACAGGACATAGCCCACCCCTGAAATATACAGCTTAGTGTGGACTCAACCTAGGGAGATAACTGATTCATTCACGACTTTGTTTTGCTTTTGTTTGTACCAGTATTGGAGCTTGAACTCAGAGCCTGGGTACTGTCCCTTAGCCTTTTCTCTTAAGCCTGGTGCTTGACCGCTTGAACCACACTCCCACTTCCAGCTTTTTTGGTGGTTAATTGGAAATACAAATCTCATGGATATGGGTACCTCTCAGGAGGCTGAGACTTGAGGATTGTGGTTTGAAGCCAGCCCGGGCAGCAAAGTCTGTGAGGCTTATTTCCAACAAACCACTCAGACAAACCAGAAGTGGAGCTGCAACTCAAGTGGTACATACAGTGCCCGTACATACAGCACTAGCCTTGAGCAAAAAGAGGGTCAGAGACAGTGCCCAGGCCCTAAGTTCAAGCCCCAGGACCAGCAAAGAAAAGTTTCACGGACTTCTTTTGGGCTGGTTTGAACCACAATCCTCAGCTCTAAATCACTTGTTACTCATGACTTTAAAAGCACTTAGTGAACATGCACCACAATAAGTGACAAAATGAGTAAGAATCAGCTCTCTCTCAGAAGACAGTTTACAATCTGTAATGTCATAGTTTAATGCCACCTGAAATTCATGTGTTGGAAACTTAATTTCCAAATTCATGTCATTCAATGAGGTCATGTGAATGGAGCCCACACGATGGGTTTGGTAGCTTTCTAAAGGAAAAAAAAAAGAGACCTACGCTAGCACATTTTGCCCATCTTACTATATGAGTTAATAATAACCATTATTATTATTACCACCATTATTATTAGTGATAATGGGATTGTAACTCAGAGCCTTGTGCTTGTTAGGCAGGTGTTCTACTGTTTGAGCAACACCTCTAGCCAAGCTTAGTACTTCAGGTTGGTCACCATCTTTGACTCCTTACCCTACCCCAAATGAAATACATCTTATTCAAGTTCATTTTTCCTATAAATCTATAGAAAGTAAATTTCTTTGCAAAAGACTAATATTGCAAGTCAAGCTAAGTACCATCAGCCCTAATGTCAGTTCCTCCCTTTTGCTCTGGTAACATCACTCCATACCATCTGTTTGAGATGCAGTCTGCCAAGACATTCTCTCTTAGCATTGCCGTAAGTGGATATCACCACTGTCCATATGCAATTGTGTACATGTGCAGTCTTGCCCTTGAATGTGGCTTGCACACCGAGGATAAGACTGAAACTACTGCACTCAGTTTCTGAGGGAAATTCATAAACTGCTATTCTGGTTTCACATGAAATAGCAACTTGAAAGCATCATCTGATTCATGAAAATAGAAAACATCAAAATTGCATTGCTGCAATAGTTATAAAGGTAGATTACTGAGCTCACCTGACTTTTTGCTCATATATTTTCTGAATATTAAGAAGTGCAGGTACACATCCAACTGGTTTCTATTTTAGTAAAGAACCAGATCAAATGTCAAAAATCCATCTCCATCTGAAAAGGTGAATTTTTAGATTTTTCCTTTCTTGCCTTCATGATAACTTAGCCAAAACATCAAGTCAAATCACACTTGACCTTAGATACTTACTTATGTTGCCCCTGACTAACACTCAAGTCACAGGGGAAATGCCAAAGTTCTCTGATTATTTATATCTATTTTTCTTTTTTTACACATTCTCTTCCTTTGATCTTATCACAATCCCATATTAGGGGATTATTACTGGTTGAACAGAGGATTTTTGTTTTTGGTTGGTCATGGGGCCTGAACTCTGGGCCTGGACACTGTCCCTCAGCTCTTCAGCTCAAGGCTAGCACTCTATCACTGGAGCCACAGCACCATTTCCAGCTTTTTC